TGTATTTATTAATATTGGGTGTCACTTTGATAATCGCCGTCTCTCGCTCTGTCCCTCCCTGACTTGCAGTCAAATAATACGCGCTGGAAAGAAAACGTCTTTGTAATTATAAAACGCCACGGTTCCTTCAATTTGTTTAATATCATGACATAATACAACAGTGTAATAACACAACAGGGTGCTCTATTTGTTTGAAACTGAATGCAGAAATGCACGTCTGGTTGTCGCTCTCTGCGTCTCTCATCAACAGCTGCTTGTCAACAGTATTCAACTCGTGAGAAGCTGAACCTTAATATCTCAGGCATACCGTGGGCTAGAAATGCCATTCTAACTGTATTCAACTGGTGACATAATCAGGTATTGATGTTGTAAATATCTTCTTGATATCTCTTACGGTTTATTTTTAATCCATATGTATATTTTGTCTACTTCTCCATTCAAAGTCAATGGCTCCATTCTTTTCCAATTACCCCCATTCTAGTGTCACGTGACCCCCGCTCCGCGTTCCTCTGTGTGTGTGTTTCTCATCAATTCCTGCCATGTTTCTGCTTTTATTCTGCCATCCTTAAAGCTCTCACACACATATAATATATGAAAGTGGTAGAGAAAATTGTCAGCATTCTGATTATGCCATTATTATTGCGATCGGATGTTGCTATACCCGTGAATTAGCGAAGTTAAGCTACCTGAAGTATTTTCGTGCTTCCTGTTGCTCAAAATAACATCCGATTTTCAAAATAAAACCCGAAATACATATAAACTTAAAATAAAGAGAAATATTGCTCAGAAATATAAATATTTCAATTATAAATGAAATTGTCATAAATGAATACATTCAATTACATGTTAATATTTGAAGTCATAGTTTATTTAAGTGGGGTCTCAATATTTTGTTCTCCCCAGCTACATTTAAATGAGAAGATTACAACATTAGAAACACCTCTAAACATTATACAGATCTTGTGCACAGTTAGGACAATGTAAATCTTACTTTGCCATGAATGCCACACAATACAAATGACATATAAAGTAGATGAGTAAGTAACAGATCTAAAACACTTTAAACAGCAAATGCTATACGCACAACCAAAAAAAGATTTTGTATTTCCATAAGTAGGGTCAAATTATGGAATAATTGAAGAAGAATTGAGGAGTTTAAATATAAATATAAAAGTATGTGTCACTCAAGATATATGCAAGAATAAAAGATTTAATCATGAATGCATGAATGAAACACTTTGTTTTAAATTTTCTGTATATTACTTGTCTAGTGAAGAAGAGAATTACCTATGTAGAGATACTGCTTGCAGCCAATGATGCATGAAATTTTTTGTATAAGATGATGTTATGGGGTAGGACTGGATAAGTCTGACTTCTTCCTACTCCATTCAAACATGTACTAGGTATAAGCAAACTGATTCTGGATTAGTATTGGTTGGATTTGAGTAAATTATGTGTGTGTGTGTTGATATCATTTGTTTCTACATGTTTGAAAGAATAAATCAAATCAAATCAAATCAAAAATTTGCTTATACCTAGTACATGCTTGAATGGAGTAGGAAGAAGTCAGACTTATCCAGTCCTACCCCCTGACATCATCTTACCATCATTGG